AGTCATTTTGTTGTATTTTCTGTTTAATAAATTCTTTGTGACCACTTAAAATTTTGTCATATTTAGTAGTTTTATATTAATTCCCTACTTAAAAAACACATCAAAATTCTTTATCCCAATATATCCATCAAACATACTAATACATCTTATCTATATAATAAGGGAGGTAGCTTTATTTGTCTCGAGCTTTTCACGACTCAAATCATTTATAGACTTTTGACCCAACAATCCTAATTACTCCCTAATGTTTTTTCCACTCTTGGACTAAGAGTTTCACCTCATGTATAACTCTAGACTTCCATCTCTCACACATCTGTATCTCTCATGCTTTCTCATATGCGTATCCTTCTCTCTTTCTCTCATGCTCATATACACGCCTATCTTTACAAATTATGGGCTACGACTACTATACTAGGAATATCAGTTCCATTCCTTTGTGTTCGACCGTCACCAAAGTTAAAAATAACGTGTAAATTTGAAGCTCGGATTCATTAGTTTGACATTAGGTTATGTTTCTCATGTTTCCTTTGCAAAAGAAGAAAGAATTGGTTCCTGTTGGCCTGCAAAATAGGGCAGCTTGGTATAAGCAAAAAGTTTAGTGATCAACAAGGTAAAATTATTGAGCTCTTTTTTTTTTCCTTCTCGCGTTTGGGTTATTAATGTTGAAGTTCTTTTGTGATTCACTTGATATGAGTTTGGGTGTATGATAACAGGAATTGAGTTCATATTTGGTTCACTTGTAGTTCACATTTTTTTGGTTTTGGTGTCTGAACTATTTTGTATTAGGCTACCTATATGTCTTGAGTCTAAATAACTTTTATTTTAATTTTCTGATTTATAGCATTTCACTAGATAGGATATACAAGAAAAAATTATAGAAATTTTTTTTGGGATCATGATTTTTATGCTTTTAGAGTTTTAGATACTAATTATGGGTGATATAATACTTTCTTTGTCGCTAATGTTTTTTCTCTAGGCATTTGATTTTGTCAAACATCCCGATGGCCTTTCATTTTGACTAGCAGTGTTGTGCTTACATTATGGGTAGAGCATAAAGAAATTGAGGTGTTTAAGTGCTTTCTAAGGCCATATTTTAGATGGTATGATGTAAAATAAAAAGTAGCATAGATGGGATTAATCTATTATTTATATGCCTTTTTTAAAGTGATGTAGGAAGAGGATAGTTGCTTAATAAGCTCTACAGAACTGATGTACACTTCTTATTTGTTATTGTTTTTGTGGATTGAGATGTACATTTTGTTTCATCCAATCCCAACTCATTGATCAATTTTTTTTGCTTTAAACCTAATTTTTTTTCCCATATTTGCTTCATGATTTATTTCATTAAAAGAACTATATAATGAGTTTTCATCCTCCTTGCAAATTCATTTGAGTTTTATGATTTTTTTTCTTAAAATCATATAAATTAATTGTTATGAGTAGGGACGGAGATCAAAATTTATCCGTGGGGCAGGGATTAAAATTTTACCTACTAACGAGGGCGGACGGGGATGGATAAATATTTTTGAAGCTGGTACGGGGTTGGAGACTATTACCCCGCCTCGCCCCCGCTCCTGTCTCAATCTTTTGTCATCCCTAATACTCGGTATTGAATAAGTTTGAATTTATTTTTCTATATGGTGCATTTGAAAAGTTTAGTGTAGTGCCCTTGATTTACTTGCTCAGCTGAAAGTGATATTCAAATTCTTCGTTTTTCTATTTGTAGTCGAGATTATTTATGGATGGAGTCTCCTACTTAAGTACATTTATAGCAGTGAATTACGTATTGATAATACAATTATTTCTTGGAAATACTTTATTGTTTGAGGTTTTTCCTTAAGTGTAAACAAAGAACAATGAACATGACTCACTCGCACGGTGCGAAGGTGATCGTCAACAAGGTCATTGGTGATAGTTTTGAATCGAAAGCCAAGGTAACAGGCAAATCAGGACTCAGCATTGCCATTCTTGACGATGCGATTGTAGTTAAAATCGGGGGTCAGAGAGAAGGGAGAAAGACAGAGAGAAAAGTGGTGGAAACATTCTTCTTTGTGTGTATTCTTTCAATTTTGTTGTTGGTACTGCCTCAATAAAAAAAATCTCAAAAATAGTCAAGAGTTCTTTCAATTTAATTTTTATGGTACGATGATATATATATATATATATATATATATATATTTAATGTTTTTGTAGGTAATTTTGTCCATTTTTTTTATATATTCATCGATTTTAGATATTTATTGTTATTATTATGTGTGCACCTCTTTTTTCTCTTACTAATGCTCATTTTTTTTAGTTGTGAATTTTTTTTATTATAAAGTGTCTTCAGCATGGACAATAACTAATTTTTCAAAATTCCACCAAAATACCAAATACATGTCATAACATATCCATGGCTACACAAATTGACAGTGTCAACACTTCAACATGTACTTTCAACAGTCTACACAACACTAAATAGATCAACAGAGCCACCCAAAAGACGCCCTGCAAGGATCCTAAGAGTTATTTTAACTCCATGAACCAATAACTTTTCAGGATGATAATCATTATCTATGGCAACCACCATGAGTGTCACTCAATTTTGAACCACATGCATAGCAGAATTGGAATTTATACCCGCAACAAGTAACTCCACGGTCAGCAAATTGAGCAGCTGATTGATCTTCTTGTGCTGGAGACAATTATCGATCAAATCTACCAAAGAATAAAAGATTTGACTATATAACATAGGAATTTGAGTGTAAGAATTAAGTCCAGAAGCCTAAAACTAGAAACCCATTGAGGATCATATGAGACTTACACTACTCTATGGAGTAATGACCCTTCATGCATTATAATTAGCCAATTAGACCATCTGATGGTCTCTAATAGACTCATCTAACGACCATCAACATTTATCTCAAAACTTAGCGTTGTATCGTACCTTCAAACATGAGTTACTCCTAATTAACATACAAACTCAGATCTTTACAAGCTCAACTATTAGAAATCTAGCCCATCAAAATGACCAATTCAATTCTCAACATGTAGTAAACAAACTAACGTGCAAGCATCAAACTTAAATCATAATCTTAAATCCCAACCAGTTACATAATTCACACGAACACACAATGCGAACAGAGACAACAGACAATTCAAAATTCATACATAAGATGCGCACGCACGCACACACACACACACGTTCTGCTCAATTTTGGATAGGTTACATAATGCACCCAAACAAACTCAATAATCTTGCTACTTGATAGGGGTGCAACTCGGGCGGGTTGGACGGGTTAAATCTAATCCAATTCTAGGTATATAATTCTCAGTCGTAACCCTAATCCAACCTCAACTTGAGGTACTCAACCCGAGTATTACCCAAGTTTAATTCAGACGGGTTCGGGTTAAATTCGGATTACGTAAATCGGGCAAATTAAGGGTTAGAATTCGGGTTGGTTTTGAGTTAGGGTTATATAATTCGGGTTGATTTCGGGTTAGAATTCGATTTGGGTTAATTTAAAGTCGATCAAATATTTACTTAAAGTAACAATCAACAACTTCAATTAAATATTTAACATAAATACCATAATATTTAAAACATTAAAATTAATGTTTAACATAAAGACGTAATAACCAAATGTTTAACATAAGACTGAGCTAGAAGATTGATCCCTAGTGTTTTAACTTGTAAGTTATATTGATAAATGATTTATATATTTATTTTTAAATATGTTTGGGTTGAGCCCGATTTAAAATTCGAGTTGAGCTAGATTTATATATTTGAGTTGAAGTAACCCAAAGCCTGACCCTGAGTACTGCCCGAATTAAATCGGGTAAGTATTTTTCTGTTCAGGTGTAACCCAAGTATTAAAAACTTCAACTCAAACCCTATTTTTCTTGAATTGGGTTCAGGTTGGTCCGCCCAAGTTGCTCCCCTACTACTTGATAGTGAGTTAAATAAAGTGGCGGCTTCATATCCTGGATTGGGGGCATAATTATATTTTATACCCTCTGTCTTACATTGAGCAAAGAAACCAGAGACAAAAAAAGGCAAGGAGTAGTGATGATGCACAAGAGTGAATTTATACACCACCTGTCGAGTAATTAATATATGTAATAAATGCAGTAAATATAAAGATAAGATCCACACAAGCAATATAGATATAGAGTGGTTCGATCAGGGTGACTTACTCCATTTTGAACGTGACAACGGTGGTCGAAGGACTTTATTGATAAAATAATAGGTGAAAGAGAGAGAGAGTAAGAGTAAACTCTATGTGTTGTGAGATAGCTATGAGAGAGATAGTTGTGTGTGGGACGTAGAGATGTGTCCCTCATGTGTAGAGGGATTACAATTTATAGGCACAGAGTCTTAGTTGAGGTGGTGGCATAAGGGATAAGTTATTAGTCTTTCGGGAGGATAGTTACAGCTAAGGATAAGTACAATTAAAGATAGTCACGATCTTTGAGTAGTGGTTATCCCAATAATTACTACCCACATAAGTTCTTGAACTTTGGACTGGGTCGAACCCATAAGCTGATCTTGACCTGTTACTTTGTAGCTAATTTGGGTTTACCTCATTAATCAGACCTAGACCCAGTTGGATCTAAGCTCATCATTTGCCCCCTTGCCCCAAACCTTATTTGATTTGGGTTTACCTCATTAATCAGACCTAGACCCAGTTGGATCTAAGCTCATCATTTGCATGCCCCAAGCTTTATTTGTGACAAAAGGGTATTGAGGGTATGAGAGATACCTCCCAAGCTTCTTGCTCTGTTCGGTTGGTCCAGCTATCTTGCTCCCCCATCTCCTCCTTCAATATTTACAAAGCCTCTTTACCCCATTTGATTGACACTATGGTATCAAAATCTACAATTGAAGACCCCCTTTTTATTTAGGGCATGCTTTATTGGATAGTGCTTATATACCCAAAGGTCGTCCATACCTCTTGACCATTCCCCTTTTTCTCACCCCCACAGATTGCAGAGACACTAGCTTACAGAGAAGGCGAGGCATGGAAACGAGATGGGGGTTACCGAAGGAGAACGAGAATGTGGTAATGAAGTTGGGGTCCGTCATCACCTCGGTAGGCGAAGCCTTGCCATGGGCGATGCCAGTAGACTCTTAAGGTGGCGCCAACAGCTCAGGCAATGCCTCAAATGAAGCGGGTGTCCGAGGCAGCAATGAGAGTGCATGCGACACTTAGGGCAGGCTAGGTGGGCTAGAAGGCCATCTGATCAGCGCCGATGTAGAGGAGAGAGGGGGCGACGTCAGGGATGCGTTGTGCGGTGCAAGCGACGTCCTTGGCATGAGAGGCGACTCCGAAGCAGGGGAAAAAACAGGCAGTTGCATGGGCAACTCCTTCAGGGAAGCTGGACTTGGCCTGGGCTTAGGAAGGCAATGTACTGACCTGGGTGACGCTAGGTAACACCTGGGTGCTAACCTAAGTGATGCCAGACAGCTAGGCGCTGGCCTAGGCGACACCAGGCATTGTGGGTTTATGATTGGAGGGGCCTAGCTAGGCGTTGATGCTATCCCCTCTGAGCTTCCAAGCGGTGCCACTATTCGCGATAATCTCGACAGCACCAATTTTTGTGAAAAGGCATTGGGCAGCGTCTGTGGATGCACTACTCGGCTAAGTGGTGGCAGGCGTCCCCTTAGGCCGCTGGGAGATGGCGGACCACGTCCTAGTATGCTGGGTCATGGTGCTTTGGAGGTTAGCAATGCGGGCAGGAAGCCAGGTGGTAAAGGCGACACCAGAAGCTCTGCTAAAAGGAGGGAGTGTGATGCCTTTTCTTTAGTAAGATGACCGTGCTTGTCCTTCAGCATATTAGTAATTCTAATGCTCACTTGACATTTTTACTTTGTTGACTTTGCTACTGGCATTGGTTCTGATCCTTGACAAGTGTCACCCCGATAAAGGCACGACGAGGAATGATCCACAGGATTCCCAGAGAGACAAGGGGACCGTTGAAGGAGACGGTTCGAAGGTAACCTCTATTTTTAGCTCAATTGATTGCGATGATAATTTTTCCCGCATTATATCTTTGTACCGTATCCCTCCTACTATTGTGTGTCGTTAGGGCGAGGGGAATGAGCCAGTGTGCTTTAACTCCTTTTTGGAGATTGTTTTTTATGAGGATGTCCTAGAAGTGAGTTTGGGGTTTCCAATACCAGGGCCCATATGTCAGATCCTTGGCCACTTGTCACTCACTTCAGGGAGATTGACACCGAATGGTTTAAGGGTAATCTTAGCGTTCTTTTTGCTTTGGCAGTTGGTCCACGGTATGGACGTCCCTCCTCCTTTTGAGGAGTTCTTGGCCTTGTACATGCTTATAGAAAATCCTATTCCTCATCAAGGGTGGTACCTCTTTGCCCCGAGTCCGGGTGAGTTTATTATTGGACTGCCTTCGAATTGGCACAGTTGAAAATCTAGACTCTTGTTTATTGGAGGTGAGTGGGACACTAAAAAAGATCGTGATTTAGTGCCTTTGAGGTGGGACACTGCCCTAAGGACCAAGTTAGATAAATGTTTTTACCTTTGCTTTTATATCTGATTGTCATGTCCCTATACTTATTGTGTGCTTGGTTCCTTTGCAGTTCCACCCACGTTGTTTACAGAGTAGAAGAGTAGGCTCCAGGTCATGCAAGAAGGAGTTTACAACCCTCATGTCCGCCGCAGGTCATCTTAGAATCTCCCCTAGACAAAAGAGGAAAGGTACTTGATATTTCCAATAAGCTTCAATAATTGTAATAGTATAGATTCTGTCTTATATTAGTTCCACAGGTCCCACTGTTGATAGAGCAATGGGAGAGGCTCTTTACGCTTCTAGGGTGTCATATTCCCTTCTTTCTAAAAGGGCGAAGTCTGATGCCCCAGCGTTTCTCGGTCGGGGTTCGATTGCTAGGTTACTTCCCAGGAGAAATGACCCGGTGGTGCCCCCACTCCTTCCCTAGCTATGACTTCTTCGCATTCCAGAGCTAGCCCTAGTACTGTTGTAAGAGTTGAGATTCCAGTGCAGTTTTTCGTCGGGACTGAAATTCCATGTTGTTGTCCTACTTCTAGCAGTGGTTTGGTATCCATGCTGCAAGACATGAATCTGGACAAAGAGCGGCTTTGGGAGGTTTGTGACAGATGCAAATATCATAAAGGTCGGCTCTCGAGGTCCAGAGGGCATTATCAATACCGCAATGGAGGGGTTTGCTATGGTATGCCTTTTATTTAACTTTGATTTTCTACCCGCCTCCTTTTCCTCATGTCCTACTTTTTGAATGCTTGTAGATGGCTGTCATTTTTTTTGTCTTTTTTCACGAACAATCAAGCTTGGAGAGACATCTAGGGATCTGGCAAAAGAGAGGCAAGACACAGAGCCTTAGTTGAGACGGTGGTGTGAGAGACTTTATTGATAAAGTAATAGGTGGGAGAGAGAGAGAGAGCAAGAGTAAACTCTAGATGTGGTGAGGTAACAATAAGAGAGATAGCTATGTGTGAGATGTAGAGATGTGTCTGTCATGTGTAGAAGACTTATAATTTATAGGCACAACCTTAGTTGAAGCGGTGACATAAGAGATAGGTTACTACTCCTTCAGGGAGGATAGGTACAGCTAAGGATAAGTACATTTGAAGATAATCTCGATCTCCGAGTAGTGTTTATTCTGGTAATTACTCCCCACGTGCACTAATTTTCCTAGATTCCTGAACTTTTGGACTGGACCGAATCCATAAGTTGGGTTTGACCTGCTACTTTGTAGCTAATTTGGGTTTACCTCATTAATTGGACTTGAACCTAGCTGGATCTGAGCTCATCAAGTAGATGCACACACACACACACACAGATGTCGTGTTTGTGTTGTATTATTGTTATTTGTATTGTGTTCGTGTCAAAACCCACAAAAAAACTATTTAGTGTGTTTTAAATATTAAACATTAGTCTAGATTATTTATTATGCGTATTTAATAATTGTGTCAATTTTATAATCGTTCGTGTCGGATTTCATATCAACGGGTCAGAGTTGACACCCTTAGTTAAAATCAATAAGAAAACAAAATGGAGATGAAGAAAAATTTCTAGATCTGCAAAAATAAACTCTAGATCTGAAATTGAAATACATTGATACATATATGTATAGATCTAGTTGATCCCAAAAAAGGGCTCTGGAATAGATGATGACTTGACAATTACCGACAAGCACCTGCGCAGAAGTCAATGATCGGAAGGGCTCTGGTAATCGACCATCCGATGATAAAATCAATAGATATTTGATATAGGAAATGGTATTCAGTTGGGAAAGAGTTGCTTACCTTGGACGCAACTGCCTTCTCCCCTTTATAGGACTGAATCTTGTTACTGCTGGAGCCTTGTAGCTATTTTTCAAATAAGGCTGCAAGCAAAGGCGGAGCTACTTGAGGACCGGGGGGGGGGGGGGGGGGGCACCCCCACCCTCAATTTTTTTAAAAATATTATTTATGTATATTTTAAATAATTTGAAGTATATTTAAGTGTGTCAACTCTATTATTTTTTGTTTTATCAATTAGTATAGTCCCCGTACTTGAATAATTATGATTTTTTTGACACACTTTGGACACTTTAGAGATACAACTATAAAAGTTTTTGACATGTCAAACTCATTTTTTTTAAACTATAGAGATTCCAATTAAAAAAAAAGCTATAGAATTTTTGAGTTATCAATGACTAATAGTTTGATCATATATATAGAGAAATATTATAGTATCTTTTATACAGTTTATTTCATTTGTTATGAAAGAGAATAATTAGCCTATCTTTTTTGTTTATTTTTATTTATGTATGCTATATTTATCAAAGTTTCATCTTTTTTGTATTTTATGAATTTTTAAATATTGAATACAGTATAGTAAATGTGAATATATTATTTTATTTTTATTGATTAGAAGAAAAAAAATTAAAATTTTTTAATAAAGTACCCGTCCTAGACATAATTTCTGGCTTCGCTCCGACGGCCAGGAATGTGGAACCTCATTCCCCAAATACCTGGAATTGGTTTAAGCTAAAAACAAGGTATATAGGTGAGCTATCCGAGGTTGGAGCTCGGTCTTCGTATCGGACTCCATCCTTCACGCCTTGCCATGTGACTGCCAGCATGTGCTGGTCATGTGTTCGTCCGTAGCCAGATTTATCTCCATCAAATCTATACATAAAAGGTCAAATCTATTACCTTTTTGAAGTCAGAGTGAACCGC